AAGATGAACGCCAAGAATTTTATAATGAGCTCCGTATTTGCGTCATGTCTGCTCCACATTACAGCACATTTTTTCCTTTTGGGGTTATTCGAGAACATAGTTGTAGATGAATAAAGGCTGATAGTTTCGAAAGAAACTGTTTGGGGCTGCGTCGGTGGGAGTAACGAAATAATTTGGATATATCAACAAAGTTGAAATGGTAAATTGGCCACCGTAATGATTACAAGATGGACGGTGGTTAGCTTGAATGAACCATAGCTTCTTTTTTAATCCTTGAATGCAGTCTGTAGCCTTAATATAAGTCAAATTGCACTCTTCTTAAACGCGTTAAGGATTCATCTGGACGGAGCTATAAATTGACAGAGAGTATCGGTAGACAAACAGACACCCATTCTGTAATTAATTTATCCTTCCATTTCCATTAATAAATGAGTAATAATAGACAGAAATCTGGTTTGAACAAAAGAAAATGACTTGAGCTAACTAAGCAGTTAAGCTGCCATTTCAATTAGAGCATGCTGACGCTATGTTTCCAAATTTTTTATCTTTAAGCGTAATTTACAGGAAATTATGTTCTTTACAGCTTTATTTCATGGCAAATTTATGCAAACTGATCAGTTGAAATTACAATCTTAGTATTTCGTCGGAAGAAATAGTATATCTTTTTCTTTTACTTACGAAGTTATCCAGCCAAGTTGGCGGCTTGATAGTGTTACCTGATTAAAAGAGTAGACGCTTTATATGTGGCTAGGATTCAAACGCACAGCCCTTCCGAACCCGTCCAGTTGTTGGAACGCCAACTTTGTTTTCACTATCATCCGTATCAATGTATACGATTAGCTGATTTATAAATAGATTTCGATTGGTTCTATGTATTATTCATTGCTACTTATTGATTTATTTTTTATCCGTGGCACGATCCACCGCGCTTCGTCTGCCACTTTTCCGTTCCTACCACATTTTCACGTCATCTGTGATCTATTAGGGTCCTTAAGCAACCACGACGGCAACGAGGACGTGGAAAACAAAAGATCTAATTGGCAGAACGATAGCTCAGCAGGTGCGTTTTGAAACTTTGTACATTTCTTAGCCGTCCTATGCAAAACAAGAACGTGAAATCGCCAAAATTTGCGTCGTCTACGAACCGAAACCGCGACGGCAAATTAATTTAATTTCCATTTGGAACTCAACGCTACTTCTATACGTCATGCTGAAGTTGAGCTGTGGCACCTTATGAGACAGTAAGCTCATGCAGCCATTTTTGAAATTCTGACTAAGAGTAGAAATTCATTTTATAATCGAAGTCTTCCTTGGCGTTGCCGTCCTGATCGACTGCTTAAGGTCCCTATTGCTGAACAGACGAACGATAACATGGATTATAACATAACCAAAGTAAAGCGCGCGCTCTGATTGGTCAATTTAGCGTCTCCCATTTGCCCATGGGTGTACGCTGCTGACGTGAGCAAATGCAAAGACTATTTTCCGCGCGCGCTTGTTTTTTCTGGTCACGTAAGATTTGTTAAATAAAAGGGAACTCTTTAGCTACAATGTATCAATGTTATGTTATAAAACAAATGGTAAACACCACACCGTACACTATTGAGTTATGGATGCACTTGGGAGGTTGCTAAGCACTCAAGAAGCTAGAGTCACTCTCGGCTATCGCCTCGAGCGACTCTTACGCTTCTTTCGTGCTTAGCAACCTCCCGCGTGCATCCATAACTCAATAGTGCACGCTGTGGTGTTTACCATTTGTTAAATCTATTCGTTATTGAAATAAAACCACGCCTGTGTCAGAGGACATTCTGTGAAGGGACTGTCATTTGCCTCGTGGATTTGAATTAACAAGTGAGTCCTATCAGTAATGGTTTGAACTTTGCTATACAATTTTCATGGTTAAACAACTATACAGTAATTAGGGGTGTCTTGCTATCGATTCTAATGTTTAAAACAAATGTTTTTTAAAATATGATAGTTCTGGAGACATTATTGTTGTTGTTATTAATTTTTCGTGTGGGGCTCAAGAAACAGCCGCGCCGGTCATGTGGTGGCCACGTGGTTAATGCAACGCCAACAGCAAGGGCGTATCCAAACAAAAAAATAAGTTACTCTGCACATGCGTTGTAAAAAACAACGTGAAATCACCAAATATTAAATAGTTTGAGAGAGGGATTTCGATGGCAAATCATTTATGTTGTTATTTCGAACTCAATTTGCTTTCACATGTCAAGTCGAAGAGAGATATCTCGCCGTTGGAAACGGTTAATACATCTAGCCACCCGCGAGTTTTAAATTTTATTTCATTCGACATATTCCTGAGCTGTACCATTGCGACATTTTAAGCTTCCACTTTTACAGTGCTTTTAGGAGAGGCTTTTCAACCAAACACTGTCCCTTTTCACCCAGTTGTATACACTGGTATATTGCTAACTGTCAGAAAATTAACAAAATGCTGAAGGATTGTGTTCAATGGACCATGCCTGGACATGGCGTTTTTTTTTTTTATGTTTTGTTTTGTTTTGACTCAAGAGTTGATAATCAAAAGTAAAATATTGTAATACTGTTTCTATTTAATGATTTAAAACTTAAGCTTCTAATATGCTCCCTCCGAAGAAGAACAACGGATATTACATCACAAGTTAATTAAGTAAATATCAGTATGTGAATAAGTAGCTGCCTGTTTTTGAAACTATTAGAGATCAAGCGATTTTCCTAATGTAAAAGTTCCATAACAGATTATCTCTACCACAAGCAGTGAAGATACGATCAGTGTTGTCATGGCGGCGGGTCTCAGCATGGCATTTTTACTTACTGACGTAACTCTTTTGTGTCAAAGTAAAATTTGGCTTTAATCGTAATATTTTGTAAACATCCATGTAAACAATAGTCTCCATTTGGTGCGAAAGTATTCACGGATATGGGTTCAAGGACATCATCTTGCCGAATTTTTTAGTTTTCTAAGAGTCAGGCTCGGGGAATACTGTGCGCTTTGGGGAACAGATAATGTCCGAGGAGAAACAAAAATGTTTACCCCAAATGAAGGCTATAGCAACTAGCGGGAAAAATACTTACGAACAGCTTACCGTTTGCTGTGTGGGATGTTTATTTTTCAGTGTGCTCTGGAACGACTTTATAAACAAATGGAAACGTCCTTCTTCTGTAGCAAGAGCCAAACGCTCTCTCAATTTGGCTCCAATCTTAAACGAAGACTTTTATCGGGGTGGACGTGAGGTTTGCGAATTGGAGAATACCACTCGGGATATATCCCCAGATACTCCCCAGCTGGTGCATATTTGCATGATCTAAACGCATCACGTAGCCGAGTCACGTGATGCGTTTAGACCACTCACGATCGAGCGAAAATAATTGATATATTACAACTATCCTTTGATATGGCATTGCATGTAAGCTGGTAGATGTGACTTTACCGTCTTTGGTTTAAAATATCTCTCGTGAATCTGGGAACCGAACGGGTGCAAATTATTATTAACATTCGAAGATAAACCTCGATTCGTATGGACACGCAGCACTAAATAATGTTACTCCTCATTGCAATTACAATTTTTGCAACTTATTAATATTTGAAAGCTCGACTAATTGCTAAGTTTTCAAATCACCACGAAACAGAAAAACTGTTATTTTGTTTGACAAGAAGATGGGATAACTTTAAGATCTTTGGGAAATTTAGACTTCTTTCTTCCAGCTATCCTTCTTACAATGACATTCTTGCGACAGTCTTCGTACGAGACTGATCTTCTAATTATAATAAAATATGGCATCAAATCATACTGGGAGTTTTACCGGTTTTCTCTACAAAAATGGTTCTTGTCAATAGCGAGCGAGCCCTCCTTCTCACATGAAGTTCGACTCTCGAGATATGATTGGGCTTTTGAGCAACTTCACGATCAACGGAAGCTATGATTGCTAACCGAACTAATGCATGCACATGGCTTATGCATACACAAGCAATATCAGTTACCATCGTTACGTACATCACCAAAACTCCCACGAATTGCTCTGACGAAAGGGCGAGCGAGTGAAAGGTCAGTTTCTTTTCAACATTGCTACGGCTTAACCGTCTGGTGCATAATAATCAACTAACTGTTTCATTTGACCGCTAACGCAATAAAACAGTTTCTTCAGAGACTACATGGAGAGAGCGTTAACCTTATGCACACACGAACATACTCAAGGGACCCCTTTTCTCGATCCCTCCAACTAAGAAAGTAAACATTTTCAGAAAGGCGAAGATTTCAACAGTTATCTAAATGATATGTAGCTAACATTAAAGACGTGACAATTTCCTTTGTGGAAGTCCTGGGATCCTTAATAATATGAATTATTAAAGGTCATTTTCATTGTGTAATCTTTAAGGTCCGACATCACTTCTGTACAAAAAAAAACCACTTCTGAATTACATAAGTAACTGGAAGTTTGACACACTTGAAGCAAAGGCTGAATACACTATGTGGCGCAGAAATCTTTGTGATTCTCATGGCTAATTTCTAAATTTTCGCTGCTCATGAGAAACAATATTCCAGAAATCTTAAGTGACTAACTAATTCCATGAGTCCTGTTTTCGAGCGACCTGTCGGTCATCTTTAAGAAAATGATCCAAAAAAGAGAACTTGATACATCAGGTTGAAGATCAATCCGATTTTCAATTACAGTGCAAATAACTATTTAACCTGTTAAATAAAGCTACTTACATCGACTTATCATCGGACATTTTCTCCTGATGTGTAATTTAAAAAACATTCTTACCAGGTGGTAATACTCGGTTTCGATTTTTGTTATTGTTAGTAGCTTTATTATGATATAAAGCCTGGAAATTTTGAAGATCTTAAAATTTTCCTGATTTTCAGTGAGGACTTTCCTAGATCCGCAAGGAGAGACCCTGCGAAATAAAAAGAACTCTTTATGGAATAAAGTACTTCTTCTACTCTTCTTTCTGCTCGGACTCGCTCGTATCCACGTAAAAAGCATCTACCTGCTATGTATGGCAATACCGCTGGCCATTATTCACAGTTATGTAATTGTTAAGTTATTGTTTGTTAACAGAAACACATTAAAACCACATGGTGGAGATTGAAGATCCAACATGGCGTCAGTATTATGAATATACAACTCTACCATGTAGCGCACATCTTGACAAAAAAAAAGAAATAGAAATATTCAGTTTCTTTGCTCGCCGTTTGCACTTAAAATCGCAGGCATCATGTCCCATTAGTCATGTATTCATCTCATTTTAATCCACAAATTTATTATGCAAACACAAAATATGTCTAAAAAGCAAAATCTAGGAGCACAGAAAGTATTTAGGTAACATGCCAGTCAGTTAAATGTACACTGAAAATTTTCCTTTAATTATCCTCTCTCTCTACACCGGCCAAGTGATTGCGAACTTTTAAAGTTTCCCGAATTGATGAAGAGGAAAAAACCTTGGCCAGTAAGTTATGTTAATTTTTTCATTTAAAGTCAACATAAATTTGATCTTAATGTTGAGTGACTCTGTCCATATTGATGTTGAAGCAGATAAACAATAATGGCACCCGTTACGAAATAAGACTTTATGATAAATTATCTCATCTGTGAACTTGCATAATAACTAAGACACACAATTTTCACGCTAATTTTTGGATAAGTTTGCTCAGCTCAGACGTTCTGTCTGTCTTTTATTCACGTTATATTTTTAATAACGAATTTTAATAAAACATTCGCTAACTTTGTTAGCAAATGTGGCATTAGAATTAGCTGATGGAAAGCTCAAGTTTACGAACTCTTAACACCAAAACGGTGGATCATGATTTTTCCAAAGAAACTTTGCATACTTACCAAGTGTTATATTATTTTATTGTTTACTTTTCATCATCAAATTTTATAATGCTGCTTTGCATTTAAAAGACTTCTGCTACCAGTAACCTTCTGGGCTTTATGAATAACAAGTTTGGATATTACTTAAAAAAATGTAATCCTAAGGATTATGAAGGAGAGAAACATTCGCGATTAAAGCTGAGTGGGGAGTTTGATTACAATCTAGCGTATTTCAGACGACTTACAATGAGCATGATATTTTTTGTGGTGTTGCAAAATAGAACACAGCTTTTTAAGTTTTGAGGACAATTAAAAAGTGGCGAATGAATATGCGTCTAAATGCAAAGCTTTTTTTTTTTATCATTTTCCTTGGAATCAGGCAGAAGTGTGAATTGCGAGAGGAACAAGAGTTTTATGAACTCATTTTAATGACGTACAGTTGCAATGAGAGACGTTGTAATCCTCTGGCATTACTGATCAGCTCTATGTATACAAAATAATTCAACCCTTACACAAGTCAATCAATCAGACCTAAATGTTGGGGTCATTCAAAGCCTTCAGACATAAAGGCACCTCTCTTCTAATTTGTTCGCTGTTTTAGTCCAGCTTTACGAGGTTTTGTTTTGGTTGGCTATGACACGCAATTTGATGATTTAACTTTTAAAAATTACATCTCCAGTTGCTCTTAATCTTGAAAAACAGCCAGGGTTTCTGAACAATGAAAAATCGCCCCTGTCACGGAAATAAAATAAAGAAATAAAGCAATTAGGAACATGCTAAGTCACAAGACTAAAACACATCTTAAACAGATGTCCCCTTAGGCCGTTTTAAAACGTACGCAAATAACTTTGAACCGCTAAGAGAGCCACTAAGAATCAGGTTTGATCCCAAATTTTAATGATTTTAACATGAAACTGGGCAAAAAGAGAGGTGTAGCAAGTCTACAAGAAACATTTTAGCATGTGGTCAAGAATTTTATCACAATGCTGTTACCAATGTGTTGAAGTGATAATCGTTTACATTACTCAGAGGATTCTTTCTATCTACCAACCCCTAGCAATCCATGTGATATTTGCAACTCTCTCCTAAATAACTGTGTGAAGGATGAGGATTATTGACGTTTTAACCGGACTATTGGCCTTGGTAGGCACGCTGATTGCTCTCATTGGTAATATCTTGGTCTGTTTGACGATTTACAGAAATTCTCGGCTTCGAACGCCCACAAACGTGTATATCGCCGCCTTAGCCTTTCTCGGTTTCCTATTCGCCGTCTTCATCGGGCCTACAGTAACGGCGACTCTTTTTGCAGGAGGGAGATGGATCTTTGGAGGAAAATTCTGCAACTTTCAAGCGTTTATGACATTGTTCATTGAATTCGCTACTCTTCACACCATTGCGCTGACTGCAATTAATAGATTTTGTCGAATGACGAAACCAAACTTATACAAGAGGTTGTTTCCGTCCAAACGTCGATCTTGTGCTATTCTGGTTCTGATTTGGGCAATCCAAGTCTTATTCATATTGTCCTTTTCTTTGCCGTCCTTCGCGAGGTACGAGTACAACACAAAACGGGTAAGCTGCATCCTGAAGTTTGACCGTTCCATTGTAGACATTGTCTACAGCACAATCAAAGCCGCATTCTATTTTGGCGTGACGTCCGTAGTAGTGGTTTACTGCTATGCCAAAGTGTTCTGGAATATTCGAGAACACGCTCGCAAAGTCTCGTGCACGTTTCGAACTGGAGAACGGGTGAACATTGAAGAGATAAGAATAACTCGGACTATGTTCGGCGTCGTGTTGTTCTTCCTGGCTTGCTGGATCCCGGAATACATCATATCCATTATAACTCGGGTGCGACCCACTCACTTACATCCTAACGCCAATCGAGTCATAGTGTTTTTTCTCTTTCTAAGCTGTTCCTTGACACCCTGGGTTTACGCAGTGACAAATCGAGAATTCAGAAATGAGTTCAAACGCTTGTTAACTTGCAAAGCCAAACGACGCGAAGAAGTTTCAGATTTACCAGCAATTGTCGAACAAAGTGTAATGCAATGCGTAGTTTCCAACGCAACTAGGTCATCCTGACATCATGCACTTTTTTCTGACCTAAAAGAACAGATTCTTGAAGTACTAGATCTTTAATTCACTGAGTAGCAAGCTCTGTGAATGCAAAATATAGCATCAGATAACACAGCTTTTTATTAGCTTGAAGTATTTCAATCTTCTTGAATTTATGCAAATTAACCTAACGTTTGGAAGAATAATTTTCCCTTGCATGTTTCGTTAGCATCATTTTCTGGCTCATAATTAACATCGAGCCATCGAATCTGAGTTATACAGAGAGCCTTCACTGCTCAGCAGGACTAGCCGAAAGAGTTCATCTTTTATAACGTTCGCCTTGGCTGGGGAGTTCTTTGTTCAGTCTGTAATTGTTTTGTCTTGCGCTTCATTTTGGCTTCCTGTTCGGAAAACTCAGTATGGATTCAATGTTAAGGCTTGGAATCATGCTGCTTTTCAAATCGAGAAAGAAGCTTCCTTGGGTTCATGCATATAATTTAATATGTGTATAAAAAAATGAAAAAACACTTTGGACTTCTTGTCAAGAGGAATGATGTGGCTGTCATGTTGCAGTAAAGAACTCCTTTTCTTTCACGATTGAATTATAAATTTTTGTGAAAAGTGACGTCTGACCTTCCCCACTCACAAGAAAATGTCGAGTTTTACCCGTCTAGCTTTGTAGTTCAAGAATTTACAGAATGTATTTTCCAAGACTGCTTACATATATAACCGAACATTTTTAACTCCTCAGTAGAGCTTTCGGGAAAGCTTGAGTAACTGAATTTCAAGGATAAAGGCTGTTAGTCTCAAAAGAAACTCTTTGGGGCTGCGTCGGTGGGGGTAACGAAATAATTTGAATATATCAGCAAAGTTGAAATGGTAAATTGGCCACCGTAACGATTAAAAAAGCTGACGTTTCCAGCGTTAGCCCTTCGTCGGAGCGAATAGAGGAATTGTGGGTTGTGTGTGCTTTTAAAGGCAGAAAATGGAGCTACGTTATTGGTGGGAACATGGCAACGAGAAAAACAAGAATAAATTAGTGGAATGAAAAGCGTTCGTTGATCCCTGTGGGATTTAGACTGCCGGTTTGAAAGATGAGCTTTTGTTCAAGATTTTTACGGCTTTCCGTGCCACCTAAGTGCAAGGAAAGACCGCAGATTGCCATATGTTGCTTAGAATGATTAGGTAAATTAAAATGTCTAGCGACTGGTTTCGATGTGTCCTTGTCATTCCTTTCCACGTCTCGAAGGTGTTCTCGGAATCGGTCACCTAGTCTTCTGCCTGTTTCGCCGATGTATATCTTTTTGCAATAAGTGCAAGTTATGCAATAGATTACATTGGCGGAGGTGCACGTGAAGTGATCGGTGATCTTAATGGATCGTTTAGGTCCCGATATTTTATCAGTGTTGTGAATGAAAGGACACGTTTTGCATCGTGCACGAGCGCATTTAAAAGTGCCTGGTTGGTCATTAGTCTGAAAAGAACTTCTGACCAAAAAATTGCCTATGTTTTTGTCGCGTTTGAATGAAATGAGCGGAGGCTGCGAAAAGATAGTGCTTGTCTCTGGATCGTTTTGAAGTAATTTAAAGTTTTTAAGAATGATGGATTTAACTGAGTGGTTGTGAGGGTGAAACGTGAGAGTGAATGGAATGCGGTCGGAATCTTCCTTATGCGACGTTTGTAGTGCTGAATGTCGATCAATAAGTTGGGCGCGGTGGTAACCCGCTTGAACGACAGAAACAGGGTAACCACGTTTATCGAAAAACTGGCACATTGACTCTGATTTGTGGTGGAAATCAGAGTCATCACTACATAAACGACGAAGTCTTAGAAACTGAGAAAAAGGAATGGAATTCTTAACGTGAGATGGATG